TTTTTTCTGTTTTTGTTTTTTCCTAGAACTTGTTTTTTTCATTTATGAAACAGCGAGAGTGATACCAACCTCAGACGACCATTGCAAGAGTTAACAGACATAGCATTTACAGGTTCAGCAGGGTGCTCCCTACATAGCAAAGCTCAAGAAAATGGTGACCACTGACCATGATTTTTATGGACATGAAGATGCTTTGTACCCTGTTAAGTACTTGGTGGGCATCACCTTTTGGACAGCCCGGCATCTAAATCCCCCCTTCCTCCATTGAGTGAAGGCTTCTCCTTGCCTCTCATTCCTGAGGGCAGGACTTACAGACCCTCACTATCCCTGTCCCCTGGTCCCTGGTGGCTGTCATGACCAACTGCATGCTCCTGCATGCCCTCCTTATTTTGGCAGCAGGGACTAAGGAAGCACCAGACCCACTGGCACAGTGCCTCGGATCCTAATCAGACCCAACTGGCTCTCTGCTGCCATTCGCCCTTGGGCTTTGCCACAATTTTCTCATTGTGGGTTTCCAGCCTTCGTGATGATTCTGTGAGCTGCCTGATATGTTTCCAAAAACAAAACAAAACAAAACTTTTCCACGTCATTAGCAGGATTTGGTTTCTATTTCTTGTTACCAGGAACTCTGATGAATAAACCTGATTTATTCAGGTTTAAGGCAAAGCAAGTTATCAAAACAAGGGCAATGAAGTTTGAAACGCCAATGGGACTAGGAAAGAAAGTGGTCCCACCTGCTCTCCTGGTTAATCTCATGTGTTAAGAACAGGCAACTTGTGAAAAGTGAAAACAAATGGTCAACAAGACGTTGAGCCTCAGGAGAAGACAAAGAACTCCGAATTAAAATAGATGTTTTCTCCTGTCCTATTAGCAAATGCACCTACATACAAGGGTGTGTGTGTGTGTGTGTGTGTGTGTGTAATTAAAGTGTAATAGGGACTTCCCTGGTGGTGCAGTGGATAAGAATCCACCTGCCAATGCAGGGGACATGGGTTTGATCCCTGGTCCGGGAAGATCCCACATGCTGCGGAGCAACTAAGCCCAGGCGTCACAATAGAGCCTGTGCTCCGAGACAAGAGAAGCCACCGCAATGGGAAGACCGTGCACTGCAATATGGAGTAGCCCCTGCTTGCCGCAACTAGAGAAAGCCCACGTGCAGCAACGAAGACCCAATACAGCCCAAAATAAACAAAACTAAATCTTAAAAAAAAAACCCAAAACAAAACAGAAAAACAAAAATAAAAGTGTTATAGCGGCTGTGGGCAGGGGAGCAAAGTGTCCCACCCACGTCACAGACAGTGCTAGCCCACCATCCCAAGGGAGTCGAAACAAGGGTCGTGACCTCACCAGTGGAGAAACACTTTAAAGATCACTTCCCACTGCCTTGAGCAGTTTTGCTATAGGACAAGATGGGGAATAGTAATCACTACCACGTGCATGGATTTGTTGGGAAGTACGACTTGGCTGTGCCTTTAAAAAAATTGTGATAAAATATACATAACATAAATTTACCATTTTAGCCATCTTTAAGGGTACAGTTCAGGGGCATTCCATACACTGACGTTGTTGTGCGGCCGATCTCCAGAACCCTTTCATCTTGCAAAACTGAAACTCTGCATCCATTAGACAATAATTCCTCATTCCCCACTCCCCTCAAGCCCTGACTACCGTAATTGTACTTTCTGTCTCTATGAATTTGACTGCTCTAGGTACATCCTGTAAGCAGAAATCATACAGTATTTGTCTTATTGCGACTGGCTTATTTCACTTAGCATAATGTTCTCAATGTTCATCCCTGTTGAGGCATATGTCAGAATTTCCTTTCTCTTTTTTTTCTCCAGTTTTATTGATTTAATGGACACACAACACTGTATAAGTTTAAGGTGTACAGAATAATGATTTGACTTGATGAAATGATTCACACATGATGAAATGATTCCCTCTGTAAGTTTAGTAAACGTCCATCATCTCATATAGACACAAAATTAAAGAAATAAAAATTATTTTCCTTGTGATGAGAACTCAGGATTTACTCTTAACAACTTTCATATGTAACATACAGCAGTGTTAATTATCTTTATCATGTTGTACATGACATCCCTAGTACTTATTTATCTTATAACTGGAAGTTTGTAACTTTTGACCACCTTCATCCAATTCTCTTTCCCCCACGCTCTGCCTCTGAAAACCACAAGTCTGATCTCTTTCTCTATGAGTTTGTTTGTTTGTTTGTTTTTTGCAGTAAGCGGGCCTCTCACTGTTGTGGCCTCTCCCGTTGCAGAGCACAGGCTCCGGACGCGCAGGCTCAGCGGCCATGGCTCACTGGCCCAGCCGCTCCGCGGCAGGTGGGATCTTCCCGGACTGGGGCACGAACCCGCGTCCCCTGCATCAGCAGTCGGACTCTCAACCACTGCGCCACCAGGGAAGCCCTGTTTGTTTGTTTTTGAAGCATAATTGACCTACAACACTATGTTAGTTCTTGGTATACAACATAGTGATTCCATATTTCCATGCATTTCAAAATGATCACCATGATGCCCAGTTGTCCTCTGTCACTATACAAAGTTATAACATTGTTATTGACTGTATTCCCTACACTGTGCACTTCATACCCATGACTCATTTATTTTGTAACTGGAAATTTGTACCTCTTCATTTCCCTCACCTTTTTCTCTCCTCCCCCAACCCCCCTCTCCTCTGGCAACCACCTATTCGTTTTCTGTATCTATGACTCCATTTCTGTTTTGTTACATTTGTTCGTTTGTTTCTGTTTTTATTTTTTTAAATATTTATTTATTTATTTCGCTGCACCTGGTCTTAGTTGCAGCACGTGGGATCTTCGTTGCAGCATGCCGGATCTTTAGTTGCGGCATTCGGGAACTAGTTCCCTGACCAGGGATCAAACTCGGGCCCCCTGCATTGGGAGAACCAAGTCTTAACCACTGGACCACCAAGGAAGTCCCTGTTTTTTTTGATGCCACATGTAAGTGAAATCATACAGTATTTGTCTTTCTTTGAATTATTTCACTTAGCATAATACCCTCTGGGTCCATCTATGTTGTTGCAAATGGCAAGATTTCATTCTTTTTATGGATGAGCAGTATTCCACTGTATAGATACACCACACCTTTATCCATTCATCCATCACTGGGCACTTGGGTCCCTTCCACCTTTTGGCTATTGTGAATAAAGCTGCTATGAATGTGATCATACAAATATCTGTTAATTCATAGCCTGGGTGTCAACTCAGATCATCTTCCTCTGAGACTTAAATAAAGTCAACTTGAGGTACACCTACAGCCCTCCACCCCTAAAAGAAAAAAGAATGGACGCCTTCCTTGATGTTGTCACAGTACCTAGGAGCCCCCTCCTGCCTTCCAGAGACCACAATGACACCATTTTTGGAGTGCTAGGTGCTGTACTAGGTGCTAGGTGCTTCACAGCTCTTACCTCTTTCAGCACTGATGGCAGCCCTGCAAGGTGGAGAAGGACCACTGCTGACCCATTTGGGCCTTTTTACAAATTAGGTGTAGATGCTTATTCTTCCTGGCAGATCCATAGATCGGCAAGCAGAGCAGGGTCTAGATGGAAGTGTCCACTTGGGTCTTCAGCATGGCCCCCTTGTGCGAACCACAGCCAATTATATATACAACACAATTATATATGAGGGCCCTGAGGCAGGTACAGTGGGTAACTGGGTAAGCCGGGTTTATGGATGAGGAAAGTGAAGCATGGAGGTGAAGGAGTTTGCCTGAGGTCATAGGGAGCCAAGGCAAGCTTAGAGCAGAATGAGGCCTGCTTTAAAATGTAGACTTTATTTAGGTATGATGAGGCCAGCAGATCAGGAGACGATTGTCATTGAAAAGATAGTACATGTACAGCACGGTGACTATTCTTCATAATACTGCATTGCATACTTAAAAGTTGCTAAGAGGGAATTCCCCGGCGGTCCAGTGGTTAGGACTCCACGATTCCATTGCTGGGGGTTCGGGTTTGATCCCTGGTCAGGGAATTAAGATCTCACAAGCTGCGCGGCACGGCCAAAAAAAAAAAAAAGTTGCTAAGGGAGTAGACCTTAATAGTCCTCATCACGAGAAAAACATTTTTTTTTGGTAACTATGTATGGTGACAGATGTTAACCAGACTTAACTGTGGTGATCATTTTGCATACACAGTCATCCCTCAATATTTCCTGGGGATTGGTTCCAGGACCCCTGAGGATACCTAAATCCACGGATGCTCAAGTCCTTTATATAAAATGGCATAGCATTTGCATATAACCTACACATATCCTCCTGTATACTTTATTATTTGTTCATCTATTTAAAATATTTATTTATTTATTTGCCTGTGTTGCGTTTTCGTTGCTGTGCGCGGGCTTTCTCTAGCTGTGGTGAGCGGGGGCTACTCTCCATTGCCATGCACAGACTTCTCATTGCAGTGGCTTCTCTTGTTGCCGAGCGTGGGCTCTAGGCAGGCAGGCTTCAGTAGTTGTGGCACGTGGCTCAGTAGTTGTGGCTCGCGGGCTCTAGAGCACAGGCTCAGGAGTTGTGCACGGGCTTAGTTGCTCCTCGGCATGTGGGATCTTCCGGGACTGAGGCTCGAACCTGTGTCCCCTGCATTGGCAGGCGGATTCTTAACCACTGGACCACCAGGGAAGCCCCTCCCGTATACTTTAAATCATCTGTAGATTACTTATAATACCTAATACAATGTAAATGTCATGTAAATAGTCGTAAATACAATGTAAATGCAATGTAAATAATTGCTGGTGCAGCAAATTCAAGTCCTGTTCTTTGGACCTTTCTGGAACTTTTTGTGTGTGTGAATATTTTTGATCCATGGTTGGTTGAATCCATGGTTGCTGAACCCTTGGATACAGAGGGCAGACTGTATACAAGTATTGAACCATTATGTTGTACACCTGAAACTAATATAATGTTATCTGTCAGTTAAACCTCAATTAAAAAAAAAGAAAGAAAAGATAGTATGTTACTCACAGTTCCCAAGAGGAGGGGCCACACCACGCAGGGTCACGCCAGGCAGCACCAGGGTCAGTCAGTCAGGAGGCAGGATGGGGGAGGGAACATGGACAAGAGCCTTTATTGTGGTTTCTGCAGGAAACACAGGTGAGACAAATATACATGCATAGGACTGACTAGTTTGAATAATTTCAGTGGGCTCTGGGGCATAGGGACACCCCTAGTTGTCTGATACCTGGCTCTGGGATGATTAGGACAGGGAAATAGTCACCTAGAGTGTGAGAGTTTGTAAGGTCTTGATAAAGAGGATGGTTGGTGTATGGGCTCTGAATTGACTAGTTTGCACATAGAAGGTGTACTCACTGGAGAACCCTTGACTATCTGTTGGAATTGGCTACTCCTGAGAAGCACAGTCTCTTCAGGGTCAGCATAGGCCCCAAGATGTCAAAGCATCAGAATAAGAAGAGATGGTTCCTACAAGGCTGATGCCCAGGGTCTTAATCACTTTGCCTTCCCTCCTTAATACCTTCTCTCATTGATAGTTTTGAAATTTTACTTTTTTTTCCTTTTGGCTGTGGAACTCTTTCTCCAGATGAAATCTTGAGGCTGTCCAATTTATTGAAGACTGCTACTCTGATGCTGACAGATGGTAATTGGACTTATTGTGATCATTTCATAATGTATAAAAATATAGAATCATTAGGTTGTACACCTGAAACGAATACATTGTAAGTCAATTATATTTCAATAAAAAAAAAGAATGCTGCTGTGGCTGGTGGGCAGGGGTAGGAGGGCACAGTATGAAGCCCCCAGTACTTTGCACCTGCTCATTTCGGAAGCAGCCTTAGAGGCCCTGCTGGCCCCTCTTATACAGAGCAGAAGGGGTGAGAGGAGGCTGGCCAGGAGGCAGATCCTAGAGTGGCCACTAAGGCTGTGTGACCTTGGGGTAGTAATTTCCCTCTCACTCTCTTTTATTTATTTATTTATTTATTTAATTTATTATTTAGCTGTGCCACGCAGCTTGCCGGATCTTAGTTCCCCGACCAGGGATTGAACCCGGGGCCATAGCAGTGAAAGCGCCGAGTCCTAACCACTGGACTGCCAGGGAAGTCCATCTCACTCTCTTCTTTAAAACAGCTTTATTGAGATATCATTCACACACCTTACAATTTACCCATTTAAAGTATACAATGAAGTGACTTTTAGAATACTCAGACTTGTGCATCTATCACCGCAATCCATTTTAGAATATTTTCATCACCCCAAAAAGAAACCTCATACCCATTAGCAGTCACCATCCAACCTTCCTACCCCCTCAGCCCTAGGCAACCACTGATTCACTTTCTGTCTTTATAGATTTCCCTATTCTGGACATTTCATATAAATAGAATCATTTAATATGTGGTCATGTGTGATCCTTTGTGAGAGGCTTCTTTCACGTAATGTTTTCGAGGATCATCCACATTGTACCATGTGTCAGTACTTCATTCCTTTTTGTGGCAGAATAATACTCCACTATGAGTATGTCACATTTTGTTTATCTGTTCATCCACTGATGGACATCTGGGTTCTTTCCACTTTTTGTCTATTACGGATAACGCTGCCATGAACATTCAAGTACAAGTTTTTGTGTTAAAATATTTTTGAATTCTCTTGGGGATATACCTAGGTGTGGAATTGCTGGGTCATGTGGTAAACCTATGTTTAACCTTTTGAGCAACAACCAGACTTGTTTTCCAAAGTGGCTTGTTATGGACTGAATGTTTGCCTGCCCCCCACAATTCATATGTCGAAGCCTTAACATATTAGAAGGTGGGGCCTTTGGGACATAATTAGGTTTAGATGAGATCATGAGGGTGGTGCCCCCATGATGGGATTACTGTCCTTTTAAGAAGAGGAATAGACACCAGAGCTTCCTCTCTCCACCACGTGAGGACTCGGCAAGAAGGTGGTTGGTTGTCTGCAAATCAGCATGACGACCCTTATGAGGAACTGAATATGCTAGCACCTTGATCTAGGACTTCTCAGTGTCCAGAACTGGGAGAAATGAATGTCTGTTGCCTAAGCCATACAGCCTGTGGGTTTTTGTTGTAGCAGCTCAAGCTAAGACACAGCTGTGTATGAAGTTTCCAATTTCCCCACCAGCAGTGTGTGAAGGTTCCAATTTCTCAGCTTCACGAACGCTTGTTACCCTTCGTCTTTTTGACCGTAGTCATCTTACTGGGCGTGCGGAGGGAGTTCAGTTTGGGTTTGCATTTTCCTGGTGGCTCGCCTTCCCTCTCTCGAGCCACACCCTCCTCCTTTGCTAAGACAGGATCTAGAGGTTCTTCAAAAGTCCTTCTGGGACACCAACGGAAAGCAATTATACTCCAATAAAGATGTAAAAAAAAAAAAAAAGTCCTTCTGGGGATTTCCCTGGTGGTCCAGTGGTTAAGACACCGCGCTTCCACTGTAGCGGGTGTGGGTTCAGTCCCTGGTCGGGGAACTAAGATTCCCCCATGCTGTGTAGCACGGCCAAAAACAGTAAATAAATTTTAAAAAATTAAAAAAAACCCAAGTCCTCCTGGCTTGACATTCTGAGTTCTTTATGTGTTTCCTTTAGAACCCTGAAGATCCACTGCTGTGGGTGGGATTAGAGAGTGGGGTGAGGGAGAGGAAAAGGAAGAGACAGGCAGTGATAAGGGCGCTTAGAAATCCTCCTAAAGAGCTGTGGTCACAGGATACCAGAGGTAGCATCACGTTTGCCTTCATCCAGTCCAAAGTGCCAAGCTATTTTATAGGTGAGGAAAGTGAGGTCCAGAGGGGTGACAGTTACCTAAAGGTGCTCAGCACGTCAGTGGCAGATCAGAGAATCCAGACTTGCTTCGGGGTGCTGGAGAGCCCTGGGTTTGATTCCCACTGATCTGTGTGACTGTGGGCCACTTTCTGAACCACAGTTTCCCCATCTATGTAATGAGGATAATACCTACTTTATGGAGTTGTTTTGAGGATATAAAATATTTAACATAGTAAGTGCTCTGTAAATAACTTATTTCATTTTGGAATTTTTTTTTAAAGTAAGTTTCGTTAACATCCATCACCTTACATCATTACAATTTTCTTTCTTGTGATGAGAACTTTTATTTTTTTTGAGATTAACTTTATTATACATCATTACCAAACTTTTATCATTATTTTTTGTTAATTAATTTATTTATTTTTGGCTGTGTTGGGTCTTTGTTGCTGCGTGCAGGCTTTCTCTCTAGTTGCGGCGAGCGGGGGCTACTCTTCATTGTGAGGCACGGGCTTCTCACTGCGGTGGCTTCTTTTTGTTGTGGAGCATGGGCTCTAGGCGCACGGGCTCAGTAATTGTGGCTCGTGGGCTCTAGAGTGCAGGCTCAGTAGTTGTGGTGCACGGGCTTAATGCCTCTGCGGCATGTGGGATCTTCCAGGACGAGGGCTTGAACCCATGTCCCCTGCATTGGCAGGCGGATTCTTAACCAGTGCGCCACCAGGGAAGTCCCTAATTTTGGAATATTTAATATCTACATACCTATAATAAAAGAAATTCAAATAATATACAAAAGAGCATACAGTGAAAAATCTCTCTCCTCCACCCCCTTCTCGGGAGCCACCACTTTTACTAGTTTCCTGTCTTTTCTTTCAGATATATTCTGTGCATACAATAGAAGTTATTTACCACACGGGTCCCTTAGAGTCGGTGGAGATCATTAACTTGCTGCCTTTTTAAGCTGGTCTTTCCCACCCTGGCCCTTCACCACCCCCCTTCTCCTGCCAGCACACAGAACTGCGGGGCTCCCTTATTTGTCCAGCTCCCCTTTCCCAAGCCCCATCCACCTGGTAATGATTTCCTAGAGAGTCTCCCAGGGGTCTCCATGGGGACGTTTCCTGCTCCAATCTCCATGGCAACTCTTCTGGTTGCCATGGTGACACTTAAGTGATTATTTGGAGACCCTTAAATAAATCACCCACGGTGGTATATGCTAGAAGCATTTGGCTCCGGCTCTTATGTTTGGGGCCAGGCTTGGGGCCCAGGCCTGCAGGCAGAAATGGGAGGAGGGGAGGAGGCGGTGGTCCGGGCCCCTCGCCCTTGGTTCTAGCGCTACGAGGGGGCCTCCCTCGGCAAAGGTGGACTTGAGCCTTTGGGAAGTGGTGCAAGGACAAGCAGCAGTCAGGCTCCTGCAGTCCCTGAATAGATCCTGCAGCAAGCAGGAGATGCTTAATGGGACTGGGGGCTCAGGACGAGGAGCAGCTGCGAGGAAGCTGGAAAGTGACAGAGCAGGGATTCAAGTCCACGCCTGCTGGGCTCCAAGGCCCTCACTCCCTGACTCTACTGAGAGGGAATTTCAGATTGAATCCACTCCACTTATTCAAAGAATATTTTTAGGGAATTCCCTGGTGGTCCAGTGGTTAGGACTCTGCAGTTCCACTACTGAGGGCACAGGTTCTAGCCCTGGTTGGGGAACTAAGATCCCACATGCTGAGCGGTACGGAAAAAACAACAAAGAAACCACAATATTTTTAAAGCACCTACTACATGCCAGGTACTGTGCTAAGCATTGGGGTTACAGCAGCAAATAAAACAAACAAAAATACCTGTCCTTCTGGAGCTTACATTCTACTGGGGGAGATATAATTAGCAAAATACTTAACTCTGTAGGCTAAACGGTGGTCTAAGCACAGGGTTAGGGAAAGGGGCTAGGGAGTGCCAGGATAAGCGGTGGCATGCACCGCCACAAGGGCTGGGGCTCCTGGGGCCCAGCTCTTGGGACAGCGGTCTTGGGACAATTCTCCCAAGGGACTAAGAATGAGGTTTGAGAAGAAGTGGTGAAGAATGGCGGCTCCATCAGTTGTGACCGGCTCCTTCCATGTGTTCTGGCAGCACAGCTAACAGTTTAGTCTTCCAGTTTCCTGGATGCCTCAGAAGATGCATTAAAGCAGACAGGCATGGCTGAGGGTTTAATGTCCATTTTACAGACTGGGAAACTGAGACCAAAAGGAGGAAGCAGCGTGCCTAAGGCAGTGCTGCTAATGTCAGGCAGAGTGAGGACTACAGCTTGAGTCTTGGAGAGTCCAGGAGTATTTCTGCTGGACCAATGGATTTATCGGCAAACCTGCAAATTCATACCTACCCTGAGTACTGTTTTATAGAAAGCTGAAAAAACCACTTGTCTTGAGCACCTGGGAGACTGGTGGAGTCTATCTGGGGAGTCCGGTTTATTTTATTTCTAATGTCAACCTCAAGTGGTATGTGACGGCTCGTTCTTCAGCGGTGGTGCAGACAGAAGGGCGCAGTGGCGTGATTCTTCTCACTCCTGGCTTCCCCTCCTCAAGGAAATGGAGAAGTTTGGAAGCACAGGTCCAAGGCACACAGTGTAGAGAGTGCATACCAAATGTTACTCTGTGCCAACAAGCTTCCTAAGGAGGCGGTGAGACGAGTCCTTCTACACTAGCCTCTCTCTGACTTCTCTGAGCGTAGATTATCCACCTTTAAATAGGCCT